AATCCCTTGTCTGATTTAAACTGCCTAACAACAGCCAGCTGTGCAGCTCTTTTAGCCATACATTATATGAAATCTCTCTGATCCATGAGGGCGCCTATAGAGGTTTGACGGTAATAGTGACAAAACCCTAAACCATATTTATTTGGTTCTCCAGAGTAATCATTCCTACTCCTACATTACTGTTTAGCTGCTGTAATTATGAAAGGCTACCACATATGACATCTCGAGAGCAATACACAGAAGTCGTATTTTTCAATTCTGGGTTCCCACAAATTGAGCATGAAAATAATTAAAGCACCTGCATTCCTAAAGACCGCAATATTTATCTTGCGGTCTGGCAGACCGTTAATAAAAATGTCCACTCAGATCTTGATCAGGAATATGATCTGCTGGACTACTGCTGTAAATGTAACACTTAATGTTCAAAAAGAGACTCATAAATCACTTTAATGTTGGTCAGTAGTGAAAACCAGAGCAGTTTTGGAGAATATCTGGCTCTAATTAAGTTGTAAGGAGCGCCCCGGGCCTGAGGATAAGGTCTGGTGATCACATGAGGTCTGGTTAACACAGGACCCCCTTACACCCCCCCCGCCCCCATTGCCCCAATCCTTCAGGTTATGCCCTCAAAAGGGGGTCTGGACTGCAACAGAGATATATACATAAGGAATCAGAATGGAGTCAGAATTTCATTTACATTTTACAAGGTTTAAGCATGTTTAGCTTCTATACAGCCAACAAGTGTCATCATTCCACATGTGATTTAGTAAAGACAGACTTCATCACCAGCTGTGAGTTTTTAGATGTAGCCGTGACTTCCCCCTCTGTGGAAAGCTTACACAACCTCTGAGCTCCCAGATAGCCTCTCTTCCTGTCCGCCCTTCATTTATTTCTCTGTCCCTTGGCCCGTCTTTTACTCCCACTTTTGCTTTTTTTTCCTTCACTGCATTTGCTCTCAAGGGAAGATCTAAGTGAGTAGATTTATTCATTCAAAGGGTTCTGAATTACATTACAGCAGCCCAGCAGTCACATATGCCAAAGTCTTCAACAGCTGAGCTCTCCAGGGAGTGTTAGCCCAAAGGTTAGCTTATATCCCTACCAAATGAGTTATGATTTTTCACTAAATCTCTTCCTCAACTCCCACCTCCTCCAGAGCAATTTGGAGTGCCATTCACCAAGCTCATACTGGGTGATATTATACAGATGTGAAGGGTTTATCACAGAGAGTGCTTTTTAAAAACCTCCTCATTCAAACTTACTTAGAGCTACAATGAGTTGCTTAGTATAAACCCTACAGGGGAAGGCGCTATGGACAAATATTATATCGCTGTATAGTACATGAGTTTATATCAGAAACTCAAATATTTTGACATAGAAATTGTTATATCAAATCCAGGAACTTTATCATAAAATCTGCTTATTCATTTGCAACATCGACCACCACAGTTTAATGCCAACATAATAGGGAGAATGGGAAAACCTACAGTTTTAACGACTTTCGGAACGTGTAAACATTATTCCAAGATGGCTACCCCCAACGCTAACCCTGCAGTCGCAAACAATTGAAACAGCCTAAACTACACTGTACTGTAGCTTCACGTAATTTGAGGCAATTTAGCATCAAATAAACCATACAGTATACAACAAATGAATGAACTTTTAAATTAGCTACATCAAATATTTTCTTTTTAAATAGGGAAGGGTGATGCTGTTGTAAGAAATGCCCTATATATAATATTAAACGGTTGGCTACTGTGTGTGTGTGTGTGTGTGTGTGTGTGTGTGTGTGTGTGTGTGTGTGTGTGTGTGTGTGTGTGTGTGTGTGTGTGTGTGTGTGTGTGTTTGTGTGTGTCGTATGCATCGTATGCAGCATAAACTTCCCTGCTGCTTCTGGCTCTATTTCGTCGTAATGTTGCATGAAGAGGAAATCCAGGTTCCTCATGAAAGAGATTTCATCTGACCCTCTGTATGTGTGTGTGTTTTTCTGTGACATAAACCCAGGTAGTGCTCAGGATCTCCTTTCCCCTCTAAAAATAAAAAAGGAAAAGGCTCTGTGATACTCCATAATCCCGTAATAACCTCTCCTTCCCCTTTTACACACATGTTTGCCCACTGTTCTTATGTTATTCCTGGACATCTGGAAAAGTTTAGCTGTGTTTGTTCTCTCCACAACCGCCATAATCACGTCCACAGGCACAAACACCTTCTTCACATTAGAAAAACCTAGGATTATGATTTAAAGCTTCCTGGCTACGGTTGGTTTACATATATATATATATATATATATAAGTTGCTAACACAATAATCACACCCTGGTTTATGCCCTGAGGAGCCTTAATGAGTGGCTGCATGTACTGTGGCCCTCATTACATTGACCCGTAACACTGGGGTGAGCATGTGAAAGAGGCAAGCTACAGTACGGTATGCATGCATGATGGTGCAGCCAGCCCCAACAATACATCAAAGTTTAATACGGAATAATAGCACTGCTGACAGCTCTCATAAAATCACCCCCTTCCTAAGCAGACGATTCCTCTGCCAGATAATGGCTCTGATCTGGGCCTTGTGCCCTGCTCACACTCACTACTGGCTCACCTGTTCAATCCAGGCCTCACAATTACACCCTCTGTGTGTTTAAGTGTGTGTGTGTGTGTGTGTGCGTGTGTGTGCATGTCTGAGCCAGCTGCTATTGTTTTTATCCTGAGCATCCCTAGGTGAAGATTGTCAGGGTGTTTCCATGATGGGGGAAAAAAGGAAGCTTTGATATCTTTTAAGAGGCTGTGAGACACGAGATGTTTTCAGACTGTTTATATACCAGTCTTAAGAGTTACACAGGGAGGAAGAGTGATCGGCCTCGGGATGAATTATGGATACCACATGTCTAAAGCTGGAGCCCACTCTTGAGCCAGAGTGCTTTTCAAGGATGGGTAATTGAAGTGCGCTGCTACTGTAAAGGATGCTAATATTACCTAGAGAAGGCCACAGCAGCTCTTTTAGTGAACTGAATGAATATTGTAAGTAGCATTAGGTTGTTGAGTTGAATTGCCTGTTGCACTAAGACTTCTTGCTAATATGCAAATGTATCCATAAATACAATCATGCACACTTCCCCACCCTTTATTCAGCTTTATATTAATTGCTTCCTGCAAGTACACACACACACACACACACACACACACACACACACACACACACACACACACACACACACAAACAAATGCTGTCTCTGTCGCTGTGCATCTTCTTTCTCAGACTCACATGTCCACACACAGATGCCTGAGAAAGAAAGCCCACTGAACTGGAAAAGCGTTTGTCTCAAGATGAAAGGCTTCACACCCACTGCCTACATGCAGAGCCTCTTCCGACACCTTCCCGCGACAGCGCATACTGTAGCAGAGGCTTGTGCTACGCAGACACACTCCAGCTAGCATCCCTCCCCACACCCATCAACGCTGCAACACACTTGCATCCCCTCCTCTTCTTCAATCCCTTTCTCTCTCTTCCTGTATGTCAATGGAGCTCTGGTACTACAGTAGCAGCTGGGGAACAGAGAGGCACATAAGCGGTATGACTTGAACAACGTTGAGAAGGATAAGCTCCCATGAAAGCCTGAGGCACATCAGCCTTGTTTTCCCCGTCGCCGGTGTAGCCCGGTGGGCTCTCAGGCGTGGAACATGCTTAGCCACACGCAGGGCGTGAAAAACGACACTGACCATGATGCTAGATAATTGCTTCCCATTTACTCATGTGCTGTGTGCCTCAGACAAAAATAGCATGTCGCTGAAGCGAATTTGCTGGGAAGCATGGGAACTGTGAGTGCTGTGGCTGTGGATCGATACACAGAGTGGACAGCATCAAGCAGAAAGTCTACACAGCATCTTACAAGCACAGCACCTAGCAACATATAGTCTAACAGCATTCAATAGTATGTAATCCTAGGCCTATATCTTATGATCATACACTATGCTACTTCTTATATTACACAGCATCTTTCCCATGTAATACATTTAAACACAGTGTGTCTGTGTGTCTTACCCACTATAGTTAGTGGGTAGGTGATAATCCCAAGAATGGCCCAGACATTTACACAGGCCTAACTGTTGTTTTTTCACACTACAATGTTACCTGCATCACATCTGCAGACTGCCCACCGCTCTCCAAACTAAACCCCCGGCCAAATATCTCAGAACCCGTTTCCTCCCACCAGCAATGAGAGAGAATATGCCCTGCCCCTGTATAATTGTCCCGAGTCAATGTTTTTGTTCTAAATATTAGACGTTTTAGATCCACACTGGAATTTATATCTAGTCCAACAATGGCTCCAGAGACCCAGCAGCACTTTACGGAAATGTACTGTGACAAGGCGGCAAGCCCCTCAGGAGACGATCCATCTATCTGGGATCTGTGTTTCCCTCATCGATGCATACAACAATTACAGTGCTCATTATCATCACCACAGGAGGCAAGCACGCATAGGTGCTGTGTTGCCCTGCTGCACAATCACAGTCATGTAATGATTTATATAGCACTTGGGTCAGATGGAATACATCAAGCCATACATAAATCGGAATCACTCCACCTTACAGAACATGTGCCATGCATATCTTACATTTCATAACAGCCACAACAATCACCCATGCATACAGCGTTATTATCACTCAGGCATAGCTCCACACATTCATGTCCATCAACACGAATATTTCCTCTCCAAGTGTTCCAAGCTTTCATCAAGGTGAGGCAGGGAGGAAAATGATCAATCTCAGCTCACATTCAAGTTTAACATAAAAAGCCATGGCAGCACAATAGCAGACAGTATAACCACTGCAGTGCAGTACTGTATACAGCCAGGTGCTGATATTCCTGCCTTTTAGAGCCCACACAAGGCTAACCATGCTGGGTAACTGATCAACTACAGATGCCTGCAAGAGCACAAGGCAAACAGAGAGAGAAATAGAAAGCAGAGCGAGACGCCCGGCGATGAGGCTGAACGCTCCTGTACTCACCAGCACTGGCAGAACACAGCAGAGACACCAAGAGCACAATCACCAGCGTCAGGATCTTCACATTCATTTCTGCACTCCCCTCTGGCTCTCCGCTAGTCACTCGCTGATATACTGTAGTGGTGTGTGTGTGTGTGTGTGTGTGTGTGTGTGGAGGGAGAGGGAGAGAGAGAGCAGCTGAGCGAGCAAGAAAGAGAGAGACTGTTTGCTCTCCTGTGTGTGAGAAGTGAGTGTGTCAGTTTGTGGGAATATGTGTGTGGTGGCTCCCTGGCTGTGGCTGTGTGTTTGTCTAAATGCGTATTTGTATATCAGTGTGTGTGACAGCGCCACTCCAAGACTGAAGGCACGTCTTTATCTGAGCTCTCCCACAGAGGTGTGTGTGTGTGTGTGTGTGTGTGTGTTTCTTCTTTTCTTCTGTCAGTAAAAAAACGGCAGCCTGAGCCAAGTTCAGTGGAGCTGTGAATGTGCTGGAAGTCAGCCTGCAGGTCTGTCTGTCCAAGTGTGCGTCCCTCCTTGCGTTTGTATGAGTCTAGTTGGTCATGTGGCTTATGTATCATTGACTCTGTGGGTCAAGGAAAAGCCCCCCTAACCCCACCATCACCCATGCTCTCCACCCCTTTTCAAGCAAACATGCAAGTGCACACGGCAGAGGAAAGAGCAGAGCGGTAGCAAAGGGAGGGAGGGAAGGGAAAAGGGGGAGGTGGGAGGTGAAGGGTGGGGGAGCATGCAGGTTTATGATAATACCCAAACAGATGCTCTTGTTGAAAACTCTTTGAATTGCAAACAGGGCGGCTTGCCAGGAATCCAGGAATCAAAATACCAGCTTATTAGGGGATGTAGATGAAAGAAGGGAAGGTGTGAGATGAGGTTCATTTTCTCCTGCTTTTGTATCTATGCCAGCTGTAAGGACCTTTCTTCCTCACTATTCTTTCCCTCAGTGGCGCTGAAGGTATAGCTTAAATCACTCTGGTCGTTTGAAGTGAGTGTTTGTGACGCTGTGAGTAACCGCAAGAAAAAACGTATCAGACTCTACCCGATTACATCACTCGCACAATTGGTTCCTCTGCCCCTGAAGTCATTTGTTTTATTTAGCTACAAAGATTATATTCTTTCCACAAACAAAAGCCACAAGAAAACCACCACCCTGCAACGGCTATAAAAATAAGTTGTATTTGTTTAATCATACAATCAACAGGAAAGGTTGCATTTCTTGCAATGAATGGTGAGAACTCTACGCTGGCACTAGAAGTACATCAAGTTTTCTTATCGCTTTTACCCACGGAGCGATTTCAATGCGAGAAGTTTCTACATCCCCACTTGAGAAGAGAATCGTTCAGGAAGGACCATAAATTGTGTATGTTTTAAACTATGGATACACAGTTAAAAAAGAAAAAAAAACACTGAACTCCGCCCAATTACAAAATGTACTTCGCCCTGGTTCAATTAGTTTGCAGATCTGATCCAACAATAAAATAATCTTTAACATAGGTGTTTTTTTATGAATTATTGTTGGTATGGCTTCAGTTCACTTTAGTTCCCAAAGGGCTGAAGTGACACATGATGGATGGACCGCCTTTGGTCACAACCTCCAAACACCCCCCACCATAGTCTTCCACACAAACCCTTTTCTATGTGTTGTCACTAAACAGTCACTTTAGTGGTGTAGACCCGAGAAGAGGGGCCCTGTGACCCTGGACTCTGCAGCTCCCGCTTCACACAGCCCGCCCATTGTCTCCCAAAGGCTCCAGGTCCCAGAGGGCAACATGTCTGTGCCACCCACTCCAGATCCAACAACAAGAGCAGCTTCCATTTTTACATGCAGCACTTGAAGCCTTCACTTCATGTGAAGCAATCCTCTCACCTCAGGGGTGGCCAAGCCCCCGGGGGCTAAAGATGCTTATCCAAGCCTGTCCTTTTTTTAGCTCTGAGATAATTTGCCCCAAGTGCCTTTAAAGAATCTGTTCACAGCTTTTTCTCAAAGGTGCTCACTGATCACTGACAGAAAGCATGACCAATTATTTCCAATTGAACATAATGAGAGACAGTGGGGATTATAGCGCCATTACCAGCACACTTAGTAGTTAGGAGTTGTTGGGAGTAATTCAGAATTCAATTTAATTCAACGTTCAAGGATAATCTAAAAGCAATGTGGGATAACTGCCTGCAGAGTTGTTCTAAATGAACAGTTAATGTGGGTATCAAAACTGAATTATCCAGAATGTGCTGGACCCAGGTGCTGCATGAGATGATATAGGACTGGATTTCATTCACTCATTAAAATGTCCTATGCATATGGATAATAATGTGTAAGACATTGTGAAGTTGGCAGTTCTTTAGGCTCAAACATTTGCACTCTATTAGCTTTAATTGTCTTAGCCTGAAGCAAAGCCTTCAATGGAAATGTAACAGATGGTGTTTCCTTTGAGTGAATGAGTGGACTTTGTGCCGTGACGTGAGTGTAAGCTATGGAAGGATTGGCTTTTTGCATCCAGGGATGTTGAGCCGGAAGTGGCAACATGACACAGTCGTAGGGCAGCAATACAGCAACATGTGCCTCCACACAGGAAACACTCGGCTGTTTACAGGAAGTGTTTGATGCCGGAATGCGGCGTATGTCTGCGTTCGCTCACTGGTGACGACGTTCCCCTCATTCCTGAATTTTGTATAATAATAGGCAGACATTCCACAGATAAGGGTAACACAAAGGATGGAAAAGGTATCTTTGCATTTCCTTTGTAAGTATTAGTCAGACTGTGACTGTCAACAGGTGGCTCTCGGATGTGGATAAATTGGTCCCCAGAAAAAAATTGCTACATTATTTACTGTATTCACAATTAATGTGTTCCTGTTATTCATCCGCTTCTGTATTAGCATCCTGATTTCTAAAATGCTAATGAAGTGTGCGGATGTTTGTTTGTATTGTTTTGATGATTGAATGAACAGCGGCAGGTCGTTCATGTTGTGTTTATTGTTGTGCAAAAGTGAACTCAACGCTCCTGCATCCGCTTCCATTTCCAGAGCTTCCATCAGATACAGCGCACCTTTATTAAAATGGAAAACAAATCAAACCTCCATCAAGATAAGAGTCACAGTCAGCAGCTTGAGTGAATGCAGAATGTCAATGTGATTTCAGGCCGCGGTTGCTAATTAGCTTCTCCGGAGAGATCTGCAGTGAGAGAAGAGAGCCTGACATCTTCATTAGGACGTTTTCAAAGTCTGTATTTCTTTGAAGATACGAGAGATTCTGAGCTGTGTTATTTGCTCGTCTGAAGCTTTACACAAATGTGATTCTCTCCTTTAGGCGGCCTGTGCTTCCTATCATGAAATGTCAAGAATCAGAGGCTTGGTGGATTAATTTATCTGCCTTTTAATCCTGACATTATCAGCAGCACTGCAAATTCAGCTGAGAAATGTAGTGGGCTCGCCAAAGCCCCCTGGTAAATAGGGAATCATTTTCTGACAGTTTATGGCACTCATTCGGTCGTATGGCCTCGAAGCAACCACACACATCACGTACTGTACACACAATCTTCTTTAATTTCAAACTTACATGAATAGAGTTCCTAGAAATCATCAAAATGCCACAGATAACTGCTGCCCTGAAAGGCAGCAGTGAACAATTATCACAAACACTTTGAACAAAACATGGTGAATTTATTAAGTAATTGTCTTTTTGTCAAGAAATTATTAAAGACAGGAGGTGTGCTTATCCCTGAATGTGAACACCAGCTGTGGTGTATCTCCACTAATGTTGAACAGGCCCTGAACTCAGTCATGAACTGAGAAGAATCACTAACCCTTGACTTCAGAGGGCTGCACGTCTAGAGAGGAAAGCGATTTACAAAACAGTAATCATACAATCAACTTCTCCTCTTCTTTCACTGTTATTTGGTCAGATTCATTCTCAGTAGTTTAATTTTAAATCCAAAATAAGCAAGTAGAAATTATTACATGTTTAACCATGAGCTTTCAAATGGTTTCCACTGCTGCTGTTCTCCTGAAATGACCGGGCAAATGACCCCCTGAGACGGCATGCTGTGGAGTTGCGTGACTCTCCAACAGTTGTTTCTATAATCAGTCCAGTCTGGCTCATCAGGCTTTGGAAACAAAGTGGCCCGCAGATTGGGGAATGATGCGCTGTGAGATGATAATTTACTATAACCGCCTAGATAAAAAGGAAACTTTTTCTATATCCAGGGAGCTCTTTCACCAGAGGTTTTATTAGTCATAGGATCCCTATCAGGTGAATTCCATCTTAGCGGATTTGCAGAGGGCAGATTTTTCTCCTATGATGTTGCACCTGCAGAATGTGCTTTTAGAAAAAACACATTCATTCACATCTCAGAGCAAGGCTCCAAATCGAAATCCCGCTTTTGTTTATTGACCGTACATTTGTCATTCTGATTAGCAGCAGGGGCAGGATCCGACTCATGTACAAAACACGCTTCGCACCCTCATAAGCCTGTCAAACAAAGATTCTCCATAGATATTGTAGAACAACAAATAAGGGAAGTCTTTTGAATCCGTCTGCACTCTCCGCTGTCTAATCAGTAATGAAAATCTACTGAGGGTTTCTCTCCAGGTGGCAGGTGATACCACCCCTGCTTCTGACATCCCCCTCCGAGCGCAGATAGTGTTGAATGTCTCTTCAATACCCAGAAACTTTCTTAAGTTCGACACCTCACTTTTAACTTTGCCGCACTGGTTGATGTGTATTGCTATCTGCTGCAGAGAGGGGAATTGGTAGTGTCACGCCAGCTTTTCATACGCTCCTCTGCACTGGGTCCCTGAGTGCAATATTCTTAAGGAGTGTTTTCTTCTTCAGTAGGCAAAAGATTTGACGATCATCCACCCTTTCTCCATTGTAACCGAGGGTTACACAGAGTCAAAACAAGCTTAATGGAGGAGGTGTTGTATCCAAAGTGGTTACTGCTCTCTTGTCCTGTAATATTGTTGCGTTTATCAGAAGTTTAATCTGTCTGAACAGTGGCATGTATTTTTGAAATGGATGATTTGTTTCTTATGGACGCTGCATTTTTTTTTTTTTTAAGAGCTAGGGGCCGAGCATGCCGCAGCTTGGTCCTGCTGACAGAAAGTGGGACAGAGAATTGTGAATTGACAGATGAGCGATAAGGAAATGTTTTCAAGGGGAGAAGACAGACTCTGAAAACAGACAGGAGCCTCACAAAGCCTGAGTCTGTGCTGCGAAGTCAAAAAGCTGAAGATCAACGTCTGCCGGAAAACAGCTCATTGAACCTTTCACTAAATTCCCTTATTTCTTCCGCCTTGAGACAAGTTGTGGGATGTTTTAAGAAGCAAGAGAAGTGCACTTTTGAAAACAGGTTTTTGCTTTTTCAAATAAAAAGCTTCATAAAACCTGAGCTTTTTAAACCTTCTGCAATATAAATATGTTCCTATTTCTTCCCCTACTGTTAATGTTTTCCTCTTGATTATAACACATGCATATTTTTACGCATTACTTAGATGACAAAAGCTCCCGGA